GCCACTTCCTACATGGCGGTTCTCAGGGAAGTGGGAGGGCTGGGAACAGGAAACTCCATTAAACACATCACAGACAGACGGAAATGAATATTTAATGAAATGGTGAGTCTGAATGGCTGTGTGTGTGTGTGTGTGTGTGTGTGTGTGTGTGGACCAGTGTAGCAGGAGCCACTGGGAGGCACAGGAGGTTACAGGAAGGCAGTTGTTGGGCCCCTGATTGATGATTAAAGACAAGGAGTGTGTAGGTTGGGGGTCGCTTGTACCTAGGGTTATGTATAAGGGGGAGGTGGGATCCTGTGTTTTTTAGGCTACCTGGCACGCGCCTGAGTCCCCATGGACCCAGTTGCAGATCTGAGCATATTTCAGGGGTGTTATCCTCACTGCCACGTTGTAATCCTGCTGCGTCCCGTCCCCATTAACATCCACCCACTGGTGACCGGAGAAGACTCCAATGATCTTTCTCTTCCACTTCTTCTTGCCTGGTTCTTTGAGGCGGATGTAGACCCCAGAGCCACTGGAGCCAGGTTTGGCATCGCAGTATTGGTACAACAAATCATTGGATTCCTCAGACACGGAGCAGAACCGGTACACCAAGTTACCAGGTCGGTCATCATCGAAGCCGGAGAAGTGGATCCTCCCAGCAGGAAGCTTCTTGACTGAGGAGATCACACCCAGATCCATGTGCTTGACTTTTGAGGATTTCTTCAGCTCCAGAACAGCATAGTCGTAATCCGCAGCCAGTCCACCCGACACGCCTTTGAACCAACCCTTAGGAACCTGGGTCTTTTTGACTCTTGTCCACCTAAATGATGGTTTCTCAGATTCCACGCTTCGCCTATTCCGGTTCTTCCTGCTTTTCCCTTTCCCCCTCCCTTTACCGCCATTCTCCTCCTTTTCCTGTCCATCGTCTTGAGCTGTGTCTCCCTTTCTTCTTCTACCTTTTCGTCGTCCTCCTCTCTCTCTGCCTCCTTTCCCTCGCCTGGATTTCTCCTTCAGAATCCCGACACGTAGTTTCTGCACTCCATCTAGATAATCCTTTCCATCATGGATGCAGTGGGCAGCAGTCAGCACATGTTTAGGGGATACCAGAACCCCAGAACAGCCTGTGGACACCTTCACAGAGGTAGAGAACGGATATTTGGTAGAGAACTGCTTATCAGCGATGGTGAAGCGGGTATCTGTGCCATACACCTCTCGTTTGTGGCGAGAGCTAGACGAGGCATTTCTGGACCATGCGGTCATCTCGTTGAGACCCTGCACGGAAATGGAAGTAAACGTGCGTGTGCCATTTTCGTAGACTGTCTCGTAAGACAAGAACTGCTCCAAGTCTTCCAGGGAAGGTGAAGGAAGGCGACGCTGGCATTCGATTCCACAAGTCCCACTTAGCTCTGGCTGTGGATGAGCTGAGAAGCTTGGGCTGCTGAGAGGCACAGTACGTCTTTTCCTCACCAGAGGAACTTTCCACTGCGGCCAGGTGTACTCATCATCTACAGCAGCTACAGCCACCACAGCCAGCACTGTCACTGGGACCAGGACACAGAAGGGTATGTGGCCCATTGTTAAGTTGGGCCTGGCTCTGAAAAATAAGAACATATGAGGAAATTATTATTATTATTATTATACTTTCTTTAGCCACACATGATACTAATCGTAGCACTGATGGTTGCTCACTCCACTCTTAAAACTCTATGCTAAAATAGCTCAACATCAGTACATAATTTGCCATATATGTATGGCATAAATATATTTATGGCATAGAGGATATATCCTACTGACTTTGATGACATCGTGCCTTTTCCTTTGTCACCTGCTAGCATTAGCACAAGCGTGAACTGTTGGATGGATTCCCATAAATCTTGCCCAGCCTGTTATGTAGGACCACGAGTTGACCAATGTTCCTTCAACATTTAATCCTTCGCTAACATCAAAACACCAAAAGAACAATTGCCATAAAACTCTCTGCACATATTCGTGGTCCCAACAGGATGTACACTGCTGACTCTGGTGACTCCCTTCGTTTTTCTCTAGTAGACACTCACACCATCGTGAGGGTGACACTTAACCTCCTAGGACCTGGCGTCCACATATGTGGACATCACATTTTGGGTTATTTAGACCAAAATACTAAATCTTGCTCAACAAGGGTCTGATATCAACTTACGAGGACATTATACTCTAAATTTCAAATGAATATCCTTATATGTGGCTCTCATTTTTCTCAGAAACAAAAATTAGACAAAAAAAAATCTGGTAATTCTTTGTTTTTATATTCATCATGTCCCAATCAGCCCAATTATCAAAGATAAATTAAAAAATGCATGCCATGTAAGAGTTTGGGTCTTAGGAGGTTAAGGTTGGTGTAATCTTTAGTCATCTGTGTTCCCCAGAGGGTGAACCATAAAGATGCTTGCAATGACAAGCATGTCAACATTTTCCCCCTTTTCCTGAAATATATAGACATTCATGACATGGACACGATAAAAATAAAGAGACCATTAGTCATCCTGATATGACAAATCATAATAATCTTCTAGCTGTAGCCAACAGGTTGTTCCTCTGAGAACTATTGGACAGAATAAATTTTGGTTGGTTCAGACTAAAACACCTCAATATCAGGAGATCATTTGCCAAGCAATTTTTTACATGCCATTGTAGTGCATGGAGGACATATTCCACTGACTAGTGATTCCCTGCTAGTTGTCCTAAGCTTCAACCTAAGAAGGCTGACACCTATTGGATGGTTTCCCATAAATATTAGTGCAGAGATTCATGGTTCCCAGATGCTTAACCATAATGACACTGGCAATGCCTTGGCTTTTCATGTAGGACTACAAACTGTCAAAATTTCCCATTTATTAATTGTAATATCTAAACATCCACAACATGAATTAGCATAACAATTAAAAGTTGGTGGTTCCCCAAATTATGAACCACAATAACTTTGGTCACCCCAAGGTTCATGTTTGTGGTTTTGAAGTGAAATGTCTCAACACTTTTTGTACTGTTTGCCAGGGATTTCCCCCCCCCCAGACACTAATAATTAAGTATGTTCAGAATATAGGAACACTCTGATTTCCCTGGAATGAAAAGGTCCAATGTTAAGACTTCTGGATCACAATATGCACAGTCCCATTACAGCCACAGGGAGGCAATATGGCCCAGAACATTAGAGATGTCCAACAGACTTGCAGTTCTGCAGCACTACAGTTGGCTGTACAGCAGTGTGACAGCACATCACACTTATGTATTTAAATGCTTGCCAAAAATGGTTGCAAATTGGTGCAGTTTTATTTTTATTAGAAGCAATGGCACTCAGTTTAAAGTAGTCTTGTGCTCCTCAGACATGTCTCTGGAGCTGTTACATTAGCTGTGTGGTTGAAAGATTTATATCCTCTGAATCTTGCTGGAGGCTGCGGGGAGAGAAAAGGATAAGATGAACCCTGATCCTTCGAATGGGCTGAGACATTGGCTTGGAGGTTCGCCACAATGGTTAACCTTCTCTTTCTGTAATGACAGTATCTGGTTTCCTTAGCTGCACTCGACTCTTTGCATGCACACGAATGACATCAAACACTGAGACTGTGCAGTCTGCACACAGCCTGCTGGCTCGTGCTTCTACTGTACGACTGTGACGTTGTCAACAGCCCTGATGAACCTAAAAGGAAAATTACAATTTGTGTGCGTTTTAATAGATTCAGCAGACCGTCACTTCACTGCAGAGCAGTTTCGTCAGCGTGGCTGTGGCGATGAAGTCACACGTATGCAAGGAGAGAGAATGATTTGGCACAAAAGTACAAATCCAAAAGTTAATTTTAAACAGAAGTCAGGGGTAAAAATATACAGGGTTGAAACTGAGTGTGACAGACCAGCTGGAACAAAAACCTTTAAGATGGGGCAAGGGAGGTGGGGTTTTCCAAAGACACACTGCCTTTTGATTAGATGCTGATGTGTTGTGAAAAAGGCATGCTGCCTGGTTTGGTACAGTTCCCAGGAGACTCAGCTGAGACAGAGAACCTCACTGGTCAAGGAGTCAACCCTCCAGCTGATAAACTTGTCATTAAGCACACTGTCCTTCAAGTAAGTATAACTGTAGTTGGGACTTTTTGGCTTCAGTTTACCATAAAGCTTCTAATAAAACGTACCCATTGGCCATCATTTAGCCACCCTACAACAGACAGCAATAAACTACAAGCCCACAAGAGCTGTAAAACTCTCTCAATAAACGAGAAGACAAAAATGACGTTTAGTTTTGTGTTTAACTTCACACTCTTGCTGCCAGACTCAGACACAAACACACAATCTAGGAGAAAGCCTGCAATTATTCGACAGAGAGTGGAAACTGATATGCTGCCATGGTGGCTCTCGGTCTTAGCAGAAGGCCCTCATTTCAGGCTGTGCCCTCTTCTTCCCTCAGTGGAAGAAGTCACAGGAAAGTATAGGGGGCGCCCGGGAGATAAACGTCACCAAGGGGTGGCGCTGTGGCACAATGGTGTATAATGAAATCAGTAAGCGTTAGCATTCACTGAAGCCTTTTTTCTTAATATTATTTCCACTTCTGTCAGTCAGGTGGTAAAGAGACAAAAGATTCAGAAATCTGACATTAAAGCCCGATTGAAACCCTGTTTAAAAAATCAAAGTAAAAATGTGAGGCGTGTGTTTCCATTGGCAAAACACTAAAATGTAAATAAATCTACAATTAAATCCCATATTTAGCACATATTCAGTAATTCTACATCTGCATCACCTGTATGTGGAGAGTAAATTGACAACGTGTCTATTTAAGAATGCACTGAAAGTATTTCAGTGTGCCCTAAGGGAATAACATCGCACAACAATAGTAATTATACTGAAAATTACTGAAGCCTGTGTGTGTGTTTGTGTTTGCACTCTAATCTAATTAAATAAACTTTTAAAACATCAACAGGTCGGAGTAAAACGAAAAGAAAATCTATTAAAAATGTAAATAAGTTGTAAAGAAAGAAAGAAAGAAAGAAAGAAAGAAAGAAAGAAACGGAATAAAGTCAGTCATTCCCCGCGTTCCCCATCGGGACACAGTAATAATGGGTAAGTGTGCACAATAGCGCTTCCTACCTGCTCGCATTCGATTGATGGATCTGCCAAATCCGCAACGTTATTGTTTGTTTTCTCAGGACCTACACAAATGAACTGGAAAACAAACGGGACTTCACTGCATCCCAGACCTTCTGCTATCAGCAGGGCGATGGCTGCCTTCTCCTCATTGCTCCTTCAAGGAGGCTGAGAGAAAAGTTGCTCCGCTCACACTGCACTTGATGCTGAGGAGGGAGGGAGGGAGGACTGTGGAGGGAGGAAGGGAGGCAAGGGGGGAAAATGTGAAAGGGACTTCTTTTTTTTCACTTGTGACAAAAGCTGTTCACATATGGGTGGGACCAGACCTTGCCATCTAACTAAAAGGCTGAATCGGGAGTGAAGTCAGTGGTCTATTCACCAACAAACCCGGTCTGCGTGGAGGAGGTGGAGGAGGGGAAAAATAAAAATGAAACGCACCTCAGTCTGTAGAACTGTGAAGGAATTAATTCAAGCGGTCTCTACAGAGTGTGGGGCGTTTCTGTTGTGGTGCGTGTGAGTCTCCACATCTGCAGCGCTCTTATTCTACAGCGTGAAGTGTAAACGCCACAAAAATATCATAAGCAGCTGCTATTAACATGTTTTTTTCCTTCTTCACCTTAATATATCAAACATATTCACTGATTACCGATATAGTTTTATACTTTTTGACCCTTCAAGACACCTTTTGATTTAGTGAGGCCACTGTTGTTGTGACTTAGCGCTATATAAATTAAACTGAACAGAGCTGAATAGATTTGTTACCCCTTAAAAGATCCATCTGTTACTTATATTTAAGTTAATTCTGTCCTCTAAGCATCTAATCTTTGAGATTTGGGGTTACAACTCAGGTAGGGGACTCTTATTATCTATCAGTGACTCCATTTATTTATGTTTGAGTACACAAAAAGATACACATATGGTGCAGGAAACCATAAAGCTTGACACTTTACTTATATATTTCGTCCATGCTTTCCTTCCATGTAATTCATGAGGTACTTTGGTAAATGTGGATGCTGACAACCTCGCTCTGCTGGTTAACTTGGCAGGCTCGTCTGCTGCCTTCATTATGCAGCAACCCACTCAAATAACTCTGCTTGTTTAGTCTTTGCATTATGCAATCTGGAAACCAAACGGGACAAAATGAGAGGAGGTCTCAACGCCACTGTGACTATATGGTTGAAGTCTCAATGAGCCAAGAAAAATATGTGTGTAATGAGAGGGAGAGAGAGAGAAAGAGGACGGATTGGAGGGGAGAGTGATGATACACATGTGGCTCAGGAGGGAGTGCAGGGAGTGCAGCATGTCATTAGGGACAGAGAGTGATCTTTGAGTAAGCTCCGCTGTCACTCACTCTGATGTACAGCAGGAGCTTTCAGTCTTCTTCTACTGGATATAGAATTACACCTGCTCCTGAAACTGGAAGCAGAGGAGACTTGGGTGGCCCACAACACCTGACAATGTTAATGATCATGATGGGTGTTTGTCTCTGTGGGTGGTGATCACACACGCGTGTACAACTACAAAGCCTGATGTTTTCCAAGCAGGATGCACAGCAATAGTTGTATTAACCATGACCGTGGTATCTGGGTGTGGTCCTCACTTCTCTTTCAGACTCTGTAGCTACATTTTGAGAGAAGAGATTGATCCACTGGCCAGTGACTCCTACAGTTCCACAATGATTATGCATAGTCATGCTCACGCCCAGCATATTAAGTTAAGCAGAAGGCTGCACAGACAGTGGAAAAACATAGTGCATGTGACATCACTCAAGAGGAACTTTTTTTTAATGGTTAAGTTGGGTTACCGCTCATCATCTCTCTCAGATCACTGAAGCCACAGTATGTAAATCATTTTGGTAATTAGCTGGGAGGAGCAGTAAAATGAGACATGAAGGGGAAAAAAGGAAGAATTTGGATTTTGAGAAAAAAATTGTACAAAAGCAAATGAATCAGAGAATTCTTGTGCTCATGAAGGATACTGTCAGTTTCTATAAATCTTGCATGTTGATGGTTATTCTGTGTCTCTCTCTGTTTTAACCTTATCAAGGGTGTTCCCTAAATATTGCCCAAATCGGTGACCCTGGTTTGGCAAGTGGTTGATGAATGAATGGATGGAAAATTTTATTTGTTCACATTGCATCCTTTAATCTGCTTTAATCAGCCTACAAATTGAAAATTTGTTTTATAAAAAGAGAGTTAGACTGATGCAATGGGACTGCATGGCGGTGCAGCCGATGCCTCTGAGTGTGAGTTTTCTCAGCATCGTCTCACAGACGTGCACATTAAGTGATTCTAAATGGGTTTAGAGTTTGATCATGGTCTGATTTCTGGCCGGGCACCCTGCTCAGGATTTCATCCATTGTCAGCTTGGATAGGCTCCAGCCCCTGACTACCCTGTCCAGGATAAGACAAGGTATAGTTAATACATGTGAGATACATGAAACACAGGAATTTTGAACCCCAAACTGACCATCTGCACCACAGCACACACTTAAAACGGGACAGGCTGTCAGAAGGCTCAAAGGTTGAATGGTCAGAAAAGTGACTTGGCACTCTCACCCACTGACCTGCCCCAAAGTGCATCTCAACACAAACTGTTTCTAAAATTAGTCACAGGGAAATATTTATGTGTCAGTCCACACAGAGTCTGGTTGACTGGTCATGGTCAAGGTGAAATGTGGTTGACTCTTTAGTAACTAAAAGTGGCTGGCAGCAGTTTCCACTGGGTGTTGTGGAAGTAAAGTTCAGCTATGGCAAAATGCTTTTCTGTATCAGATGTGATGTAAATGTGGGCTTACAATAGCAAAGTGTGCACACTGCACAAATATTTGCTCAACTCAGATATTTCAAACAACCATCCTTGCTTGCATGAGGCAGATGTTAGTACAGGTGCAAATGTTAAACTATAATGCTTCTTTTTTTTTCCTCACGAGGCTTGTTCATGTAAGTGGCCCCACTTCGTCAAACTGGACAAACTTGTAATGAACTGCTTCTCTCAGACTGATGATTCAATTCAGGTTTATTTATATAGCGGCAAATTAGATAAACAGTCACCTCAGGGCGCTTTATATTATGAGGTAAACACCCTACTGTATTTTGGAGAAAAATCCCAAGAATCAAACAACCCCCTATAAGCAAGCGCTTTGTGATGGTGGGAAGGCAAAACTCCCTTTTAGCAGGAAGAACGAGGCTCGTCTGCTCAGACTTAAGAGAAAAGGAAAAAAATGAAGTGGGAGAGAGGTCAAAACACAGACTAAAGGAGAGAAATGACAAATATAATGACATGCTGCAGTGGTGTATAAACATGTGGGAGTGAAAAGAGGTGAGTGGAGACTAAGTGTTCAGTGCCTGACAGTGCATCCACGTGAAATCACGCAGCAGTCTGAGCCTATAGCAGTGTAATTAAGGGATGGTTTGAGGTCACCTGATCCAGCTCTAACTATAAGCTTTATCAAAAAAGAAAGTTTTAAGCCTAATCTTAAAAGTAAAGAGGCTGTCTGTCTGTAGAATCCAAAACTAGGTATGATTCAAAGAATTGCACCGCATTTCCTTTGATAGTAACAGTCTGTTCTGCTCTCTCCAGTAATATGATCTGCAGCACTGAATACTGCAATGAGATTCAACAGGACAAGCACAGAGATGAGTCTACCATCAGAGGCCATAGGAAGGTTATTCCTAAACTTTACCAATGCTGTTTCTGTGCTATGATGAAGCCTTATTGAAACACATCAAGTAGGCAATTCAACTACACATGATCATTCAGCTGTTTTAAAACAGCTCTTTCAAGAGTTTTTGAAATAAGTGGAAGGTTGGAAATTGGCCTATAATTAGCTAAGACAGCCGGACCAGGTTTTCATATCTGACTACAGAATATTAGAGTGTACAGCAAATTAGAGCGCTGTGCTCTTTGCACCACAAAATGAAACCTATCTGTTCATGAATTTGCTTCTGGATTATGTTAGCAGCAGAAAAGCTAGTGAAAGCCACGGCTTCTCAGGAACTCCTCCTAGGTGCCACTTAAGAACAAATCTGTTTGTAGAACTGCATCTTCCATAATTATAATTGTGTATTTGGGAGGCCGCTCAACACCATAACAAACTGTGACCGCTGTTATTGTAATCTGAACACAGGAAGACAAAGACACACAGTAAATGTTCCTGTTTTCAGTAAAAGTCAAGGTCAAAGGTCAAAGAAGATCAAGGAAAAACACTCACAGAGAGAGAGTGAGAGTCAGAGCTTTATGTACCCTGTTCTGTATCTTCCAAACAGAAAGGCAGGGAGTGATATTCCTGGTCAGGGCTGCACTGTGGGGACAGAGGTTCTTTTGTGTTGTGTGTCACACCCTGACAGGAAGTACTCTCTTTGCACTGGGATTACTAGATGGGTTCTTAGTGGTGTGCCTGAGTGCTCAGGATCAGACATTACAAACCTCTGCAGCAGTAAACCAGTATATGGGTGTGGTTCTTAAAGGTGTACACAAAGTTTTGTGGTGACATTCCTTCTTATTGACTTTGATCCCTGAGCAAATATTTACCTTTATTCAAACACAGTAATTTAAGAAACTGCCGGTGATTTCCTGCTCTTAGTGATTTATTGTCTGGAAGAGATAAAACAAAAGCAGCACAAAGATTTGTTTCCTGTCCAAACAAAGCAGTCTGAAAGCTTGAAATGCTGGAAACTGCAGTCCCTCCAGTGGCCACTTGAGGCTGGATCCAAAATTGGGTAAATCCTCATAGACTCCCATGTTAACATACCAAGCTTCAGTGTTGAAATGAAAACATTAGCAGTCTGATCTATAAAACTATTTTTGCCCTTCATAAAATCTGCAGGATGACCTATCACCTGTTTGCATTGTCTTAAAGCTTAAGGTTTGGCTGTCTTGATTGACAGGTTAATGCAAGTTAGATAACCCTGTCTGGCCTCCAGTCTTTTTCATTGAATAATAATTTTTGCCATAGTTTTAACCAACAGCAAGATAATGGTAACTGAAAAGTATTTTGAGACACGCTTTTGTCAGTGAATAAAAATGAGATAAAAAATTATTCTGAAGAGACGAGAGCCAATCAGAACAAATTAAGTTGTGTAGAAAGGCGGGACGAGTTTGGAAGCCTTCCAGTCAGAAGTAATTTCTTGTCAGTAAGGAGAGACATGCACATTTGATCATTTATTTGTTGAATAATTTGGGAAACAGTACAAGTAGTTCCCTGTTTCTCAAGAA